GGGGCCCCCGCCCGCCGCCTCCCCATGGTTATGGCTCCGTATACAGGATTGGCCCGTTAACCTGTCACGTCCCCGTTGCTAACCCCCATCTCCCCGCCTCGGACGTGTTAATCCTCCGCCCCGCCCCCCAGGCCGCGGGGCCGGTCCCCAGCCGCAGCAGAAGCTCTCCAGAGCCAGCCCCTATGCGGGGAGGGGCCGCCTCGCCCCACGCTGCCCGGTCCCCTCACGGAGCCTTCCCTGGCTCTGCGGGGGCGGGACCCCACTTCCCACCCTACCTGGCTATCCCGGTCACCATGGCCACAGCCGGAAGTGTCAGGGATTCTCGGCCGACCAATGAACGCACCTTTCGTCCCCCTTACGTCACCAGGAGCGGATGTTGTCAGCTTCGGGCCCGGAGTGGGTCCGAGCGCACTTACCGTCCGGCCGGGAAATACCGGCTCCTTCGGGGGGTTCCGCCAGGCAAAGAGAGACCCAACCCATGTTCAGGATGAGCCTAGCCGAGGTCCCAACGCTCGGGGGCGGGCCCTGCCCATTTATTACCTATGCACGGGGCGGGCCCGCGTCAGGGTTGCAAGGTGGAAGCTGAAAATCACTGGGACGCGTGTTCTGGGATTTCCAGGCAGCCCCTGGGGGAGGGGGGGGGTCTTCTCACCGCTGTGCAGCCTTCTGCAGGCCCATGGGGCAGCCCCTGGATTAGGGGCCCTCCCCAGGCTGGGGGTGGGAGGCGACAGAGCCAGCAATGGCGTGCTGGGCCCAGAAAGACCAGTGGTACTCTAATGGGGAGAGGGAAGTAAAGAGGCACCTGCTTTTAAGGGAGAAACAAACTCTTCTTCGAGTCCGTATTTGTGTCTGCCCCTGCTCACCCTAAATCACACGCCAAGGGGAGAGGTAGCAGGACACCAGCCTTGCTCCCACCGGCCCCAAAAGTCTACTCCAGGTATGGGATATCAACATGTGTTGAAGGAGAAGTGTGGTAATGGGGTCATTATTACGGGGCCTGGAAGTGATGCTATGGCAGTTGTAAATTTATATAAGCATCCAAATGGCTCTCCATCTCCAAATCTTTCTGGGCTCTTGATTTCATATGTGTTGTGGATGATGAATCCTCCTTTAGAGCAGACTCTTCTCTTGTGCTGAGATAGTATCACCATGCTATCTATGGAGTAGAGAATATCGGTGGATATTTGAACCAGCGGAATATCAGTGGATGCTGGAACAATTTTTATAATGGGTGTGGGTGGTGGGGTATTGAAAGTAACTGAACAAAACTAAACCCTGCATATAATGGAAACTAATTCAAGTCAAGGGATTCTGCTGTACCTCCAGCATCCCTAGTTCCAACACCCTTGGGTAAAACAGGAGATTTTAAGAGCAGCCTGCAGTCCATGTCAGTTATGAGTCCCCAGTAACAAGAATGATGAATGTTAAGAAGACGGTCAAGGAAAGACCAATTAAAATCAATGTACTGTATATGGTTTCATACATTTGTGCTACTGCACGTATTTTCTTGTAACTGCCAAATAACATTAGTGCTTATCTGAAGCCATGAGGTATGTTGCCGGAGCTGTAAGGCAATTTCTGGGGGGTTTTATGTGATGAATTGAAAATAAGTTAACATACTTTTACATAAACTTGACTTCTGTTTTCTTGCCCATGTGCCTTGGGTTGATGCCAAGGTGCAACAAAATGACCCCTGAGCAGAATTTTGAAACATTCCAGCTGAACTGGAAGTGTTAAGCCTAAAAAATGGTTATTAACACAGGGCACCTAATAGACAGAGTTCACTCTGATAACTGCCTCCCAGAGACAAACCTCAGGAGCACCATCTGGTTCGGAGGCTTCTTTAATCAATTTTCAATACTTTCTCTTTTGACTTAATGAAACCAACTGGATTGATCAAGAGATTTTTGAATGGACTCTATGCCACTTGATATTTACAGAATTTTATTTGAACCCTGTACTTCATCTTTGCATATAAAATAAACTCCTGAGGATTGCTATGCTTATGGGTTTCAGAAGAGAGACCATATTTTGCTTTCTTCTGCAGACAATTTTTATCTAAGCTACAGGATGGGGGAAGAGGTTTACTGTTTTGTCTCCATTAATTAAACCTCCCTGCTGAGGCAATAAACTTTGGGGGATTGATAATAGGATGTTGAGCCTTTCAACAGGAGGTCAGCAGTTTAACTGCAGGCTATGTTTTTAGTGGTTGCCCAGTGTCCTACGTGAAATTAATTTGAGGATCTCAGTACAACTCTGAGGAGACACCAGTTTTCCTATCACTTTAGAACTCCTTGCAGTCCCTCATACTGAATGGACTGATTGTAAATAGCCCTTGCACCATGGAAATATGGACTCTCTTATGGTTAAGACCCATGAGTTCATCATTGTAAGAAAAGCTTGTCCTGCTGCTGCCCATGATGTACATATTCTGCGGATTAACAGAAATTTCCAGTCTCTAAGACTGCCAGGTTGTAACCTGTCACTGGCACTACATTTAGTCCTATCTTCAGCAATTCATTTCTGCTTTGTAGATATAGATGCATTGGTAGAGCTCCTTGAGGAAGAGCAGGATCCACATAAAGGTGTGCTGCTGCGGAAAACAGATCTGCTTTGGAGCCGGTGTTTAGTGCCTCAGTGCTGCAGTAGCAATGGGGGATTGGCTATCAGGATTGAGGTATTTTGATCGCTGTGTGAGGAAGCCCAAACCTGGAATAACAGCTCTACAGATCAGGATTGATATGGATTGGAAGAGATGGAGAGAAGGGAAATCTTTCACAGCACTTTGCTGTTCTGGGCCTGCCTCTTTAAATTTACCCAGCCTATCATTGGTTCCTCTCTTTCAACAGCATCAAATGTGGCTGTGATTTTAAAATGAACATTTAATTACTAAATATGTCAGAGCATTTTCCTCACAAACAGCTAATTCCCATTTCTAGTCCTCCAAAATTAAACTACCCCATGAATTTGTGGACTCTTCTAGTTAAATCCAGGCAAATGTGTCTGCAGATGGTTTCCAGAGGCACAGCAGTGTCATCCATCTGAAGAAGCGGCCTGTGCCCACAAAAGCTCATGATACCATCTACATGTTTTGTTAATCTATAAAGTGCTACCAGACCATTTGTTGTTTTTATCCATAGGCCAAGACAATTAATCCCAGGTGAGTATTCCCAGGCACATTCCCAGGCAGGGCAAAAGTTGAATTAAGATACCTAACTTCAGCTACGTCAATTGCATAGCTGAAGTCAGAATGGCTTAATTCGACTTTTGGCGCTGTCTACACAAGCAGGAAGTTGAAGGAAGAAAGCTGGTCCTTCGACTTCCCTTACTTCACGTGAAATGAGGGTTACAAGTAGGGTTGCCAGATGCTCTCCCAAAAAATACTAAGCACACAGGCTAAAAATTTTTGTTGAGCAAAAAAAACCACGCGTATTGGGAATACAAAAAAAAAACCCTGCACCACCCAGCTTGAGCGCGCAACCACAAGAGGAGCCACCAGACTTCCGTCCAGTGCCCAGCCGGAAAAACAGAAAATACCGGACATAACAAATATCCGGTATTTTCTGAATTTTTTTTACTGGACAGAGGGCGCAAAAATTGCAAGTGATCCACTCCCTCTTGCCCATTCCCAGCATCTGGCAAACAGAGACCAGGGACACTTCACTGCTTGACTTTGCAGGATATTGGGGTGTCTGTCAAAGCACCCTGGGATGCAGCGGGTCCGTGTTTTGCACCGCAGGTGGGGCCCAGTGACATCGCGGGGCTGGGGCAGCCACTGGCCACAGCTGGAGTTCAATGGGCCCAGCCCCCGGTAGGCACTCCCTTTAGTTGCTA